TTTTCTCGAATGTGAGTAAAGGTTGGGCATGTTTGCTAGTCTACCGTGCCACGAAGTACAGAGGTTGACACACCGGGACCTTCCAATTATCCAGCAGTGGTACTGTTCCTTTACCCTTGTGGGTAATAATATGGTAGCTAGACCTTCAAAATTTATGTGTCTAAACTTTGTTAGTGTTGTTTCTTTGCTATTCTTTTACCCTTCTTGGTCAGAGCGATGTAGTGGGAGCTGCAAGCTTCACGTGTCTCAACTTTGTCAGATAACTTTGGCAAAGTTATCTGTGGTACCCATGAGCTACTGTTGCGTGTGGGAAGTGGGTGATTGAACAGTACGATTCATGTGCTTTCTACTTCACCAGAAATCTTCGACAGAATGCCCATAATTTCTGCAAAGCTGAGTGCGTGTGACAGGTGCTGACAAGGCTGGAAAAGTATGTGCCTCTTCGATTTCTGAGATCGGCCCTCGTAGTCTCTGAGCAGCCCAGCTTTTGAGAAAGCAAGCCTCTTCGATTTCTGAGATCGGCCTTCGTGGTCTTTGAGCAGCCCAGCTTTTGAGAAAGCAAACGCCTCTTCGATTTCTGAGATCGACCCTCGTGGTCTCTGAACAGCCCAGCTTTTGAGAAAGCAAACGCCTCTTCGATTTCTGAGCAGGCGCCTCTTCGATTTTTGAAGCTTCGTCGAGTTCAGATTTTTATAGGGGCTGGCATTAAGTTCCAAAGCACACTTGAATCTCCACCAGTAGAAGCTCCATTCTTGCACTTCTAAGATCTTGATTTGTCCGATCTCTTCTCTCTTCAACACCTTTGAAAATGTCTGGCCCCTCCGACCGTCGTTTTGACTTGAACCTTGTTGAAGAGGCAGCCCCGCCTTCTCCAGACAACATATGGCGCCCATCCTTCGTCTCCCCTACTGGTCCTCTTGCCGTTGGGGATTCCGTGATGAAAAATGATATGACCGCTGCGGTAGTGGCCAGGAACCTTCTCACTCCCAAAGATAACAGACTACTTTCCAAACGGTCTGATGAGTTGGATGTTAAGGATTCTCTGACTCTTAGTGTTCAGTGTGCAGGTTCTGTGTTTAATATGGCCCAACGCCTATTTGCTCGAACCCGCCAAGTGGAATCATTGGCGGCTGAAGTGATGAGTCTCAAACAGGAGATTAGAGGGCTCAAGCATGAGAATAAACAGTTGCACCGGCTCGCACATGACTATGCTACAAACATAAAGAGGAAGCTTGACCAGATGAAGGAATCTGATGGTCAGGTTTTACTTGATCATCAGAGATTTGTGGGTTTGTTCCAAAGGCATTTATTGTCTTCGTATTCTGGGGCTGTACCGCGTAATGAAGCTCCAAATGATCAACCTTTGATGCCTCCTCCTTCTAGGGTTCTATCCAGTACTGAGGCTCCGAATGATCCCCTTCCGGTGCCTTCTCTTTCTGGGGCTCTACCGACTGCTGAGACTTCTCCTAAACAACCTTTGTGAAGGCTCCCTCTTGTTTGTTTATTTTGACTCATGTATATGTACATATTTGTAACTTATCAAGGCTATCAATAAATAAGTTTTCCTTCATTTCAACGTATTGTGTTAAATACACTAAAGCCTTCTTCGCTAAGTTCTTTGAATTTTCTTTTGTTGAAGCTTGTATGTTGAAGCTTTGTGAGTGGAGCATGTAGGTTGAGGTAGTGTTCCCTTAATTTCCCGAGTGAGGAAAACTTCTCGGTTGGAGACTTGGAAAATCCAAGTCACTGAGTGGGATCGGCTATATGAATCTTAGAACGCCATTGTGTTCTGTCCTGTGTCATGTCCTCCGTTAGATTCAAGTACTCTAAGTCTTTTCTTAGGGTTTCTTCCAAAGTTTTCCTAGGTCTTCCTCTACCCCTTCGACCCTGAACCTCTGTCCCATAGTCGCATTTTCTAATCGGAACGTCAGTAGGCCTTCTTTGCACATGTCCAAACCATCATAACCGATTTTCTCTCATCTTTCCTTCAATTTCGGCTACTCCTTCTTTACCCCGGATATCCTCATTCCTAATCTTATCCTTTCTCGTGTACCCACACATCCAACGAAGCATCCTCATCTCCGCTACACCCATTTTGTGTACGTGTTGATGTTTCACCGCTCAACATTCTGTGCCATACAACATCGCCGGCCTTATTGCCGTCCTATAAAATTTTCCCTTGAGCTTCAGTGGCATACGGCGGTCACACAACACGCCGGATGCACTCTTCCACTTCATCCATCCAGCTTGTATTCTATGGTTGAGATCTCCATCTAATTCTCCGTTCTTTTGCAAGATAGATCCTAGGTAACGAAAATGGTCGCTCTTTGGTATTTCTTGATCTCCGATCCTCACCCCTAACTCGTTTTGGCCTCCATTTGCACTGAACTTGCACTCCATATATTCTGTCTTTGATCGGCTTAGGCGAAGACCTTTAGATTCCAACACTTCTATCCAAAGGTTAAGCTTTGCATTTACCCCTTCCTGAGTTTCATCTATCAACATTATATCGTCTGCGAAAAGCATACACCAAGGAATATCATCTTGAATATGTCATGTTAACTCATCCATTACCAACGCATAAAGGAAAGGACTTAAGGATGAGCCTTGATGTAATCCTACAGTTATGGGAAAGCTTTCGGTTTGTCCTTCATGAGTTCTTACGGCAGTCTTTGCTCCTTCATACATATCCTTTATAGCTTGGATATATGCTACTCGTACTCATTTCTTCTCTAAAATCCTCCAAAGAATGTCTCTTGGGACCCTATCATACGTTTTTTCCAAATCTATAAAGACCATGTGTAAATCCTTTTTCCCATCTCTATATCTTTCCATCAATCTTCGTAAGAGATAGATTGCCTCCATGGTTGAGCGCCCTGGCATGAACCCGAATTGATTGTCCGAAACCCGTGTCTCTTGCCTCAATCTATGCTCAATGACTCTCTCCCAGAGCTTCATTGTATGACTCATTAGCTTAATACCCCTATAGTTCATGCAATTTTGTACGTTGCCCTTATTCTTGTAGATAGGCACCAAAGTGCTCGTTCGCCACTCATTTGGCATCTTCTTCGTTTTCAAAATCCTATTGAAAAGGTCAGTGAGCCATGTTATACCTGTCTCTCCCAAAACTTTCCACACTTCGATTGGTATATCGTCTGGGCCTACTGCTTTTCTATGCTTCATCTTCTTCAAAGCTACAACCACTTCTTCCTTCCGGATTCTACGATAAAAAGAGTAATTTCTACACTCTTCTGAGTTACTCAACTCCCCTAAAGAAGCACTCATTTCATGTCCTTCATTGAAAAGATTATGAAAATAACCTTTCCATCTGTCTTTAACCGCGTTCTCTGTAGCAAGAACTTTTCCATCCTCATCCTTGATGCACCTCACTTGGTTTAGGTCCCTTGTCTTTTTTTCCCGTGCTCTAACTAGTTTATAGATATCCAACTCTCCTTCTTTGGTATCTAGTCGATTATACATATCGTCATAAGCCGCTAACTTAGCTTCTCTCACAGCTTTCTTCGCCTCTTGCTTCGCTTTTCTATACCTTTCACCATTTTCATCGGTCCTATCCTTGTATAAGGCTTTACAACATTCCTTCTTAGCCTTCACCTTTGTTTGTACCTCCTCATTCCACCACCAAGATTCCTTTTGGTGTGGGACAAAGCCCTTGGACTCTCCTAATACCTCTTTTGCTACTTTTCGGATACAATTAGCCATGGAATCCCACATTTGGTTAGCTTCCCCCTCTCTATCCCACATACACTGGGTGATTACTGTCTCTTTGAAAATGGCTTGTTTTTCTTCTTTTAGATTCCACCATCTAGTCCTTGGGCACTTCCAAGTCTTGTTCTTTTTTCTCACTCTTTTGATATGTACATCCACCACCAACAAGCGATGTTGATTAGCCACGCTCTCTCCTGGTATAACTTTGCAATCCTTACAAGTTATACGATCCCCTTTCCTCATTAGAAAAAAATCTATTTGTGTTTTTGACGACCCACTCTTGTAGGTGATCACATGTTCTTCTCTCTTCTTAAAGAAGGTGTTGGCTAAGAAGAGATCATATGCCATTGCAAAATCCAAGATAGCTTCCCCATCCTCGTTTCTCTCCCCAAAACCATGGTCACCATGAAAACCTCCATAGTTGCCTGTCTCCCTGCCCACGTGTCCATTTAAATCTCCTCCCTATAAATAACTTCTCCGTCTGAGCAATTCCTTGCACCAAGTCTCCAAGGTCTTCCCAAAATTTCTCCTTCGAACTCGTATCCAACCCTACTTGAGGTGCGTACGCACTAATCACATTGATAAGTTCTTGTCCTATTACAATCTTGATTGCCATGATTCTATCTCCTACCCTCTTGACATCTACAACATCTTGTGTCAAGGTCTTGTCCACGATGATGCCAACACCGTTTCTCGTTCTATTTGTGCCCGAATACCATAGTTTAAACCCTGAGTTTTCTAGATCTTTTGCCTTACGACCAACCCACTTAGTTTCTTGTAGGCACATAATATTTATCCTTCTCCTCACCATAACTTCCACTACTTCCATAGATTTTCCCGTCAAGGTTCCTATATTCCACGTTCCTAAACGCATTTTGCTCTCTTGAACTCTACCCTTCTGTCCTAGCTTCTTCACCCTCCCGCGTCTAATAGGATCAAAATACTTCTTTTGTGTGTCCCGTGTAAAGTTGATAGGAGCATATGCTCCCGAACAACTTTGAGTGGAGTCGTTCGAAAAGAAGTTTTTATGGGCCCCTTGCTCATTTAACACTGCATCCGGGTGCCGATGGAGATACAACGACCCTTACTCACTTATCACTGTGCTCGGGCCACACAGCACGCCACTTACGGGTGACGCCCTAGCTTTAGCGCGATTTCGTTCTAGATTCATTTTCATAAGGATTCGACGTTATCATGGAGTGCCGGCTGTCGACTACCTGACGCCCTCCCCCTCCTCCTTTATCCGGACTTGGGACCGGCAATGTAAGATAAACTTACATAGGCGGAGTTCGAGTCTCCCAGGCGGCATCATCATAAAAATCGGGGTGTATGTCGTGGTTGAAGATAAAGAGCTTCTGGATCATCTGATCTGGCTTCAAATTCTCATTGACAGTCACTTGGAGAATCAAATCAAACACCTTTTGCAAATGCACTACCATGCAGCAGTCCATTCCCATCAAACCGGACAATTTGGACTTTAGGCCATCGTTGAGGGTACCGAATACAGATGAGGAAAACGAGGCAACATAGCATGATCGTCTCCAGCAGCAGCCGAAAGAGGAGCGCAACTGATCAGCTTTCCTTTCCAGGCCGCCTCTTCATTCATTTCACTCACAAAAAGTCCCAAACTGGCCGGCAATTCCATTCCAGCGCCCATAAATCTGTCCATGTCACATACAGCAAAGCAGTTTCTGAATTTGCCACCCTCCATGTGCTTGCGCAGCAATGCATCCCACTGAAGCTCAGCCGCCTCCCCAACATTCGCATCTTGCAGATATCGTATGATTAAATGTTGAAGCAAAGCATCGGGCTTTATGATGCAGCTTAAATTTCCGTTGCTTGCTGTTGCTGCTGCGGCTTTCACCTCCTCCAAATATTTAATATCCACACCGCAACTTCGCGGGTTGAGCTGTTGCGGTTGTGACACAAAAGGGAAAAGCCGTCTGGCAGTGCTTTCGAGCAGAGCAATGGCGTGGATGGCGTGGGCATCGGAGGGGAATGTGTTTAGTAAACAATCTGCGGCCTCGGAGACGTAGAGGTCAGCAAAAGCATCAACATCAATAGGACGTATAACAGAATCATCCTCCATAGAATCATCTTCGTCATCGTCGTCATCAGTTAAATAATCAGACGGCTTGAGTTCCAGCTTCTTGTTCTTCATCTTTTCAATATCGGACTTGAGCCGCTCCACAAAAACATCCATAGCTCGGTCGTGCAACAACCTGTAATGCGGATCGCAGTTGTATCTCTCGCGGTGTTTATCCTCCATCTCCTCCACCTCCGTCTTCTGCTAACCCTCCGGAAGGAGAAGGCTGTAGAGAATCTGGACAAGGGTGTACAATCCCTCGAAAGAGTCGAGGTTGCGCGCGAGAGTCTTCGGGTGGTTTTGGTGGAGCCAAGATGTGGCCGCGGACAAGGCTTCAAGATAGAAGTGACTTCCAGTAGAGAGGTTGAAGATAATCTTGAGGGAGGTGAGGGGATTGTGAGACCAGGCGACTGGGAGCTGCTGCTTGAGGGAGTTGATGAGGGCAGTGTCAGTGTGGGAATTATGCCCGGCGGATGCTGGTGGTGGTGGTGGTGGTCGCACGTTGAAAAAGAGATCAAGGCATGGATCACTGTAGGAGGAGGAGGAAGCCATGATATGAGGCTCAGCAGCAGCGTTGGCAGCCTTGGACGCCATTAATCTTCTTGTGAGGTGGAATTGCGGAGGATGACCGACACCAACCACCCTTGTCGGTGAACAAGCTGACGGAGAAGGAACAATGTTGGCTGTTGCCGCTTTCAGAACCCTCGCCAGATTCATCTCTAATTCTCAAATTCAAATTCTGTCTGTCTGTCTCTCTCTCTCTCTCTCTCTCTCTGATGGGTGGGAGTGGGGTTGTGGATTGGTTTAGGGTTGGAGAAGAAGAAGAAGATATGAGAACATAAATTGGGTTTGGAAACTTGGCCAGCAAGGACTTTCCATCCTCATATTCACAGGGAAAATAAATGAAAAAGTTGCTGCCTTCCTTGTTCTTGTTCGGCTAACCTACTATTGTGTTCCAGCTCCACCACCACGTTAGATCATTATCACTCTCCTCGAACAAGAACGCAGGCAGGCAATTTTAATTTAGGATTCTTTTTATTTACTTTTATTTATTCGGACCTAAAGAAGCAGGAAATTTACTCGTATTTTTAATCTTAGGTTGGATATTTAATATTTGTTCATTTATTTATACAGGCATTAAACAGGCAGGCAATTTTCATTTGAATTTATTTATTAATGGTTAAAATAAGAGATGAACTTATATAAAACGGATTCGTCGTTAGATGAGGTCTATGTCCAATGCGTTATTGAACCCGGACAGTACAATAACTTGGATTCGTTTGTAAAAAGATTCAACTTGGGAGAATTTTATTTCCTGGATAATGAAAACACTCGTATCTGTGCTGTAAATTTTACAAACGCATGCATGCTAGAAATTTTACAACACATATATATAGGACAATTATTGCATGTATCTCTGCTAGAAATTTTACAAATGGGATGTATGTTTATGACACCCAACTTGCTTAGAAGATGATCAAATTGCAAAGTACTTAAGGCTTTAGTGAACACGCCCACTAACTGTTGAATTGTTTTCACATGCGCAGTGTGGACCATGTTAGTATTTGAGCTACTTTTGAGCTAGATTTCACTATGTAATTGTAATCAATTCAACAAGAAATTGAAAATGAATTTGCAAAGGAAATGACAAGGATGAACTTTCAAGAAGGAGAGTGACACGCCTTGATCTCGATATTCCCCGAATACTAGGATAAGCACGTGCTGACCAACACCCGAGGATGACGAAAGTCATTTATTGAATGTAAATACTGAAAACAAGGAATAGATAAGACTTATAAATATAAATATAATGAATATGCATTTAAAGAACGTGTCCAGAGTATACAACTAACTAGAATACTAAAAGAAATAATATAAAATTGAATGAATAAAAGAATGGGTCCTATACCGAGAGGACTCGAAGATGCCGATGCGGAAGTGCCTTGACACCGGGATTGTATGCCTCGATTCTAAGTCCTGAAGGGGGTGCAAAACAAACATGAGTGGACCAAGTTGATATATATATATATATGTAATAAAACAGTTATCAATATACTAACCCCCATGTTTTATGAAAACACATATATCACGATAAAAATAGGTTTTTTGAAACCTAGCATGCCGTGCAATGTCTCAAATCATAACTCATATATATCGTAATCACTAGTGAATGTCTAATATCCCTCTAGGCCTTATGCCAGCTCCCCGTCTCTATGCCAATTGCCAGAGGAAAATCACCCCAGGCCCTGTACCAGCTCCCTATCCCTGTGCTAATTACCAGAGGAAAAACCCTTCAGGCCCTATGCCAACATCATAATTGTCGTCCGGGACGGAATCCATCCCTCGCCCCGTAGCAGAATTGGGACCACTAGGTAAGTACAAAACCATTGAACATATATATTTGAAAAGCATCTTCATAGTATAAAGTCATCCATCATCTATACTATAAAGAAGTGTTTGAAAGATGTTCTAAATATTATATCGTCATCCATCAGATATTCTATAAAGAACACGAGTTATAGGAAAAATAGTAGTAATTCAATTTAGCCTCAGTAAGCATGTTATCTCAAAGTGTTTCATAGAACATAATTGTTAAATCATGCTTTTCCATGTATACATTTCTACTATTAAAGCATGCATTTTTAGAAGGGGTTCACTCACAGATGCTTAGCCGCCGAAGAGCCACGCAAACTAGCGAACATGGAATCGTCACAAATAATTGCCCCTAAGCACATAAAGGATCCAATTAATAAAAATCTATTATAACAATTGAATTTGGGAAAACGGACGTCGGAAACGGATTCAGGATGTCGAATTACCCTAAGAAGGGTCTCGGGTAAATTTCGTAAAAGTCAATAGAATATTCCCTAATGGAATATTTCCCATAAAGGGTTTGGACCGGTTAGGGTTTAGCGTTTAGGGTTTAGTAAGGACTTGGGCTAGGGTTAAAGGTTCGGTTAATGGGTTAGGGCTTAAAGGGGTTTTGGATCAAAGGGTTTAAAGGGTTTGGGCTTGGTTTAGGTTTAGGTTTGGGTAAGTTGGGCTTAGAATAATGGGTTAATGGGTTAAGGGTTTCTAATTTAAAATGGGTTTTAGGGCTGGTTATATTACGTTTGGGCTTGAAAGCCCGTGGGTCTTGGGCTGTTTCAATGGCCCAAAGGCCTGTCTTACTTGGGTTCTCGGCTTAAGGTTTACATGGGCTTGGGCTTAAAGGCCCGGCCCAAAGACCTTTAGATTTAGGAAAATAAATAACTAAATCAATAATTAAAAGAATGGGTTGGGCTCGAGGGTTTAGAGGGCCAAAGGCCCGAGGTTTGGTTACGACCCGAATGGCCTGGGTTTCTAGGTTGTGAGTCGCCAGATTCGAGGGAAGAAGAAAGCCAGATTTTGGCTGGAATTTTAGACAAAATTTAAACGTTCATAACTTTGTCAATACTCAACGAAATTGAGTGATTCAAAAACAGAAATCATAATTCTCGACGAGAGGAAAAATTAGTACCTCGTACATGTCTAACTCACCGGAAACTAGGTAAGATTCAAATGAACATAACTTCTTCAATACTCAACAAAATTGGGTGAAACAAAAAGGAAAGTTGTAGTACTCAGCGAGACGAAAAGATTGATACCTTGCACGCTGGCCAACTCGTTGTGGTTTGGCCGAAAATTGCCTCAAAAGTGACAGGTTCCAAGTCGAAAATCTAGGGAAGTCTCATCCACGTGTTTCTTCGTAGTTTCGACAGCCAAAACACACAGATACGATTAGAAATCAATTATGAGGATAAAAAGGGAAAGTTTTAGAGTGGTTTTGAAGCTCACCTATGTCAGGGTTCGCCGAAGCACACTTTGAACAGTGACAGTGTCACTGTTCCGTGAGAGGGGAAAGAGGAGGACAACCTTGGTGGTCCGAGGTCACACCGAGGAGGTCCAAGTGGTGGTTGATGATGCTCGCCGAAGGGAATGGGTACTTGCGTATGTGTGTGAGGTACTCGGGGGAGGAGGTTGTAGAGAGAGTCGAGAGGGAGAGATAAGGGAGAGTGAGAGCTGTAGGAGAGAGAGTTATAAAAATCAGAAAAAGAAAGAAAAGGGGAAGGGAACCGGGGGACAAATTAGGGGGTGGGCCCCTTGGGCACACCTATTAAAGCCCTAAAAACAATTTCTAAATAAAAACCCAAAACTACCTTTAAAATCACGGATAGGGTGTAACAATCTAGCCCCCTTAAAATAATTTCGTCCACGAAATTTAAAATCACTTACTAACGAAATTGCTCAAAAATAGGAAGAAGAATATATGTATAAAGAGTAATCAAGTCAGTGGTTGCATCAAAGAAAATATGCCATACCGTCACGAGTAGGTTGCAAAATCCTCTATCATGCCTCCAAGCTCTTACTTTCTTCCCCATCAGTGTAAAAGTAGAAACATACTTTGTAAAGGTGTAAAGTTGAAAACATAAAATAGCTTAAGGTCAAAAGTAAGTACATAAAATACGATAACGTCAAAATAGATATTTATTAACATATAGGTCAAAATTTTGTGCTAAACTTAAAACTGAAAACGAAAATACTTCCCCCAAAACATTTTAACGACAAAAACAAATAACTAAAGTAAAGGAAGTTAAAATACTTATACTGAAAATCAAAACTGAAAAATAAGAGTGGGTCTTGTCTAAGCATACGAACGTCACGTACTTCGAGAACAGATGTGTCATTGGGTCGAGTAACAATTCCGTGACAGCTGTTGTAGACAGATCTTCCTACCCACTTGCTTAACAAACCCAACGAATAAGTTATCGATACCATAATCGGCCACCCGTAAAATCGATCACACATTTGTTGTCTCGGTAAGCAAGCAGTAATTTCCTGAGGTTACACAAATTCATATGTCGTAAATTCGATCATCCGAATACCAGTTCATAATACTCATCTGCCAATTAGTGTTGCCTGTAAAAAACTCTCGTACCATGTTGCAAAGAGCGTTGTACTCAAACTGAACAAAATAGAAATTGTAGCCATAAAACTCTAACCAGCACCAAGCATCTTATCCTCTTCTGTTCTTCCAAATGTGACCAACTACTCCAGTGCTTTGCCAACAAAGAACACATTTGAAAACTGTACTTTGGGATTCAAGAGAAGTGGCTACCATGTTAATAGTAGACCCAAAAGCTAGAGCCAAGCAAGCAGAAAACGAGAAGTCACTTTTCCCAAAAAGCAGTATCTCTTAGGAATTGTTGTAGTGCTCAATCCACCTCTCCATTTTTGCTTAGTTGCATATTTCTAGTCAAACAAGGTCAACGTTGGTGGAAACACGGACTCTCAAGTGATCAACCTAAAGACCCGGTGAGAGTACACACCTTTCAAGAGAAGTGCAACTTCTAAATGTGTTAAAACCATAATACAAGTGAACACAACACATCTTCCAAAAGTCTAGATAGTTCGTTCAGATACCAGACTCGAAACTCAAGATGGAATTTAATCTCAAAATATGCCTATCAAAGGTGTGTTGGGGTTGGGTAGAAGATACCCTTAAAATATTTGGGCAAATGAACTTATTTACTTATCATTGGAAAAAAAAACTACTAGAGTATGATATGATGTTGATGAATTGCAACAGGATAATGAGTGGTGACCATGTAATTCAGCGTGAAGTTAGTGATGCAATCTGCTGATCACCTGCACTACAATCTTCACCAGTCTCTTACCAAAAGACGATTCAAACCTCACACCCATGTGGAACTTTTTCTGGTAAGTCTGGTAAGCTTGTGAAAAGGTTATGCTCCTAGCGTTCATGTCCGAATCGACATAAACTGAGTGCAATGATGAATATGGTCGAGTTTCAAGCCATTACATTGAAATTTACAAGGCTGAATAGTTAGTGGACAAGAGCACTGGTCAGTTGGGCTACAAGCAAAAGGCTAAGTTCACCTCTACCTAAAAGTACATGGATAAGGAATTAGGGTTTACCGCCGAGTACCAAACCCATGTGAAGTTCAAAGAGTCTGTTTATCCAAACAAGACTAGATCTTCACCATCCAAGTCTAACTACAACAACAACAATAATTGCAACTCCTTTTGGAAATTGGGGGGAATAGCGTTTGCTATCGAGGAGTTTCCCAAGAAAGTATATAAACCAAATGAAGTCAACGCTCAAAGAATTTGATGTGAAGCTGATGGTTAATGGTTAGGGAACTTGACTTTGCTGTTGGAGTAAGCAAGAAAGTTAACGATAGAACAATCGCCGAAGACTGATTCTAGAGATCCATATGAATTTCTTCAGTGGAAACGAGTTCGAGAACATTGATTTTCTCCCACCAACTACCACTTACTAACCGTCGTCACAACTAGCACTTACTCATTTTCCATAACATGCACTTCGAAAGTTTTGAGTAGTTGTCACTAAGATATGACTCGACCTGCCATTCCTGGGGAACATATGTTGCAGAGTGATATCACCGTTTCAGATTTCTAGTTGGTCTTAACCAACTCGTACCATTACAATTTTTTCGCTTCCCAATACTTTTAAGTAGATCTGACTCTACCCGCAATTCCTAGAGAACGCATGTTGTGGAGTATCGATCTGATGTTGAAAGTCGTCCAACAATCCACTTCATCACTGTTGAGGCACAATCCCGACACGAATTCTTGTATTTCAACCAGAATGTGACAATTCAAACAGAGAAAGGTTTGTATAATTGCGTTGAATGACACCAAATTTGAAAGTCATGAACACATACGAGTCCAACAGATCATACAAAAGGGCAGGTTGACACCTAACTCTGGATCCAAAACGAATGTAAATAGTGCATATGAACTACACGTGAAGTTGGTTCTTGGCCCAAGACAGTACAAATAACTAAGATTCACCGTGCAAACATGTAATAATGAGCAGATAAAATCCAATGATGTCATACCATAAGTTTATGCTCACAAATAATATTAAAAGCATGAAGTGTACGAAAAGTCTATTTGTAAAGCTAAACATGGAGACTTTGGAGATAAGTAGAGAGTGGGAGTCTGATTCTTCCCTTGAGCTACGCTTTTTGATGATTTTCATCAACGGTAAGTAAACTACTTAGTCTCTAGGCTACTTTGTACTTTTGCTGAGTTGCTCTCTGATTTATTCATTGTCCTCTTCTGTCTATGTAGAATCAAAATTTGGCTCGACTCCCAAGACTTCTCCAGATATGAAGAAAGTGCACATTGTTTTAGGTATCCTTGTTGAGTATCGTGAATGGCGTTGGTTGTTTAGTCATCTTCGCAGGGAACAAGGTGGGCTACCCCAAAAGATGAGATAAAGTAGATCAAGGCTAAGGCATTGGCTCGCCCGATCACTGTTGTGGAGCTTATTATGAATGAAGGTGGAAAGAAGAAACCTTCCCTTCTTGCTTAAGAGATACTGGTTTAGAAAATCGAAGACTTTCTCTGCTGTTCGTGATGGTCTGCCTGCTGTTATGAAACTTGTGATTGACTTGACTTCTCCCATGGGGAAGAAAGATGAGGTTGCTATATCTGAGCCTGTGACACCTGCCATGCCGAAGACGGCTAGTACGATTGCTGATCGGATTGCTCAATGTAGAGGTTCTATCATGTCCCCAGTTTCGAAGTCTATACAAAAACGTCAGTTAGGAGCTAAGTCCGTTTCACTTTTGAATAAGCTTGCTACTATAAAAAGCGACAAGGTGGACTCTGTTACTAAAGTGATGCCAAGGAAAATTCCTCTTACTGCTAAGACTGGTTCATCGTTGAGAAAGAAGAGACTGCTCGTGCAGTTATGAGAAATCCAACAAGCCTGTTTCTGGAAAGTCTGCTGAGATGTGTGTTTTTGAAGCCCAATCTGCTTGAAAACATGAACGCGTGTGCCAAACTTGTTGATAGCGTCATAAAGGTTGTTTGCCCAAGTTCCTTTGCAAAGCATACAACCTAGTATAGGAAGGCTGCTCTACTTGCCATGATGCAGAAAATGGCGATTTTGTCAGTCAAGTCTATGCTCCTTGACCAAGAAAATACTAAGGCTGCCAACTAGATGGGAATGACTATGGCAGTTCAGGCTTGTTCTTCTTCTGAGAAGATTAAAAAGTTGGAGTCTAAGCTCGTCGATTTGAAGGGGTCCCATATCTCTGCAGCTTGAGACCACTCACCAGGAGATCATTGACTTGAAGGCAAGGCTTGACACGATCCAAGTTAAGTATGAAAATGTTGAGAAAAAGATTGGTCATTACATACCTTAGATTCAAGATCTTGAGCTTGCTGTTTCGGGGCTTCGTTATGTTGCCTTCGCAAAAGATGAAGAGTTGATTGCTGCTTATAATCAAGTAATCCACTTTCAGACTATTGCTGATACGCCTGAACCCCAAGTGTTGGAACTCCAAGGTGTCGTGAAGATCAACGAAAGTCTGGAGAAGGAAGTGGATAAGTTGCAGGCGTCCTTATTGGTTTGCTTGATAAGAATGAGATGTTGAAGAGTGAGAAGGTTGAACTCGAGGCTTTGCTTGTTCAGGGTCAGGCTGATTTTAGTCTAAGTTTGTCTCTCGTTCTCTCAATCACAAAAATGCCAAGCATTTCAGAGACGTCCACTTATGTATGTTCGACAATGCATATGCATTAGCATATCACTGAGTGCATTAGAATATGGTTTTCAGTTTTGGGTGCTACATGTGTTAAAGTAGTTTGTGTGGTTTTGGTTATTGTTGCCGCTGAGCATGAGTGGTTTTCTGTAGTTACTGAGATTTATATTGTGAGCAAAATTCATGCAGATATCTTCATATACCGCACATGGTAGTCAGCAACACTGCATTTAGAGAGAAAGTTATATTTGTTGGATATATGTCAACAATCCGTAATAAAATAAATATGCTAATAATAAATACGAATAAATATATTCCAGAGACTCAACAAGATGAAATATTAATTAAGCAGAGTAATAAAAGATCGAGGCTTGCGTACCGCAATGTCCTTGAAACAGAAATTTCGCCCCTACTTAGTGCTTGTAGTTCTACGGACGTTTGCTTCACTAGGATTCAACGATCTAAGTCAGAAATTCCAGCACCGAAAAATTAACTTCTGGCGAATATTAATGTGGTTCTCTCAAAAAGGATGTTTATGATTGCAGGAGAAGATTTATGATTTTTTCTGTGTTCTAAATACCATGCAGATGGATGTATATATAATATGATTATACTTGTTCGCAACAGGTATGAGAAAGGGATGCATCTGTTAGGAGACATCTGCTGAAAAGGGTGTTTTTGTTTCTGCGTTCTCACACTTCAGACTTCATCTAAAAAGATGAGTCTGTTGGTAAAAACAATTAATTAATTTAAATTCGAAATTAAAAATAATTAATTAATTCTGAAAAATTAATTTAATTATTAGAGCCCAAGAGCCCCAAGGCCCAATGCACATCTTTTGACAATTAAATATATATTAATTATAATTAATTATATATTAATTATCAATTAATTAGTACACCCCAAAGCCCAACCCTAAGGGTAAGCCCAATTTTAGTCTCCAGGTCTATTACTCCAATCACTTTTTATAAAGGACAAAGCCTTATAAAGTGATAAAATCTTTTGGGAATGGCCAATGTAGGACAAAGAAATTTCTACTCAAACTACTCAAATGTCCAACAATATTTTCTTCACTGTTTATTCAAAACTTATATGTTGCATGTTTTGGGTTTTAAAGTGAGACGGCATCAAAGTTTTTATTTGAGAAAAATCGATTTTGTGTCCATGTGTTTTCAAAAAGAATATTTTAGTTTTTAATCACTGATTAGAAATTAATTATGAAAATATGCCTTGTGATTTTCGTAGTTCATTGATTTTAAAAAATCATTACATTTTATACATTCTACATGATCACATTAATATCTTACAAAGTTCGAGGAGACAGTGATTGACGATCACATTAGTGTTGTGCCACTTCCACTTAAAGGTTGAAGAGAGATCGAGTAGCAAAGTGCAGTGAAAAAATTGCCTACTAGTATGTGGGTCTAGTTGATTAGTTTTGTAAGTCTTTATTTACTCATTTCTCTTCCTATTTTGGCTTAAGAGTTCGAAGATTTTTTCAATTGTGAGTTTTACCTCGTTAAATCCTACATCATGTGTACACATGTTATGTATCTTTTTAATTGCAAATGTGTAGAATAAACTTTCACTTATTTTTTTGTAGTGACCTCTTAGACATTCATCAACATATAGGGTGCGTTTGTTACACCGGACTGTCTTGGACTGGACTAACTTCAGGGACTAAGCTGGACTGGCTTAGACTAGGCTAAGCTGGACTAACTTAGTGAAGCGTTTGGTGCAATGTCGGATTAAAAAGCAGGATTATAATATTATATTATTTAATCTATATTTATTAATATTTTATTTTTAATTTAATATATCAATTAATATTTTGTATTACTTTATCTTATTTTTCTAGAGCCATCTTGCTCTCCAATCACTTCGTTCATCTTTTTCTCTGCGTCTCCCTCCCCATTCCCCTTTTCTCCCATTTTTGTCCCTCCTTTTCTTTGTACCAGTCTCCTTCCCCTCAAATTTTTTTTTTCCGATTTTACTTCTGTACCCTCTCTCCCCTCCCTCCCTTTGTATTTATTTTCTATTTTCTTCAGATTTGGTACATGTATTTTCTGGACAAATCATAGTTTAGCAAGAGCCTGAAACACGCAATCCAGGATTTCTTTGATTGATTTGGCTTTGGCGGAGAATTTGGAGAAGGGTTCAACGGCGACGATCTGATCGAGGCTGTTGTTGTCCAGCCACCATGGCTGATGTCGGTGGTGGAAGAATCTGGGTCATCACCTCTGATCAACGATGCCAAGCAGCCCAGCCACCATGAACGTCTGAAGCTTCAAGCAGAGAGAGGAAATACAGAAAGAAAGAGAGACGCGGGGACTGGGTAGGGGCGAAGTGAAGAGGAGAGGGTCTTAGCAGTCCGCTCCTTCTCGAGGGGTCTCGCTAAGACCACCTAGCGAGTGTTTTAGTCGGAGCGAATCGCACCTAGTCCCATTAAACTTAGTCCCTCTTGCAAACAAACACTGGACTACACTAGCTTTTAGTCTAGTCCAGTCCAGTGATGTTTAGTGAAGCTAAACAAACATGCCCATAGAGTTTACGGCAAAGGACTTTGCAACTATATTATTCAGTGCATTGATTAATTTGTAAAGCTCTCATTTATCCTAATTATAAAATATAATATGTACAAGACATTGAAAAAATGGAAGTGTCTTCAACAGTTTGGATATCATGTATGGCCATATCCTTTATTTTCACCATTCTTATCAACCGGATGGGGAGAGATTTATCTCACAAATCCATAACGTGGCAATCGTCTATTAGAAAGGTAACGTATGCTTTGAAAATCGTGGCAAATATTGATTGAGTAATGACGCCTAAAGGAAAATTTTGGTTATCTGAAAGAATTTCTCATAAAACAAAGTAACTAATAATCACCAAAAATAATAGTCCACCAAGTTAAACCTTTTCCAACGTCGAAACTAGACCAAGTTGATATTATATCCATTTTTTTAACAAATGATATTGTTTACACTAAGAAGAGGGAGTGGGCTAAGCCTCACATGGCTAGTAATAATATAATTCAAATTCGCATTTGGCAAGAATCAAACATAAGACTTCTCATTTACAAATAAAGAGGAATACATTTAGATATAATTCAAATTCGCATTTGGCAAGAATCAAACATAAGACTTCTCATTTACAAATAAAGAGGAATACATTTAGATCGTAGTACTAAATGACACTATCCATCCACTTTTAAATAATGAATAGTCAAGAAAAACATCGCACGGGTCCCCTGAGCAAAAGACATCTTTCCAATTGCTTGACCAAAACAAGCATTGACTAATGGAGCAATATTAACAAATATGAAAATAAAACTAGAATTTCAATAATAATAATCATAGAGAAATTCACAACATTAATATATATGAGATTATTATAAACAACTAAAGAGAAAGTTAGAAAAATTGACAAACTTAGAGATTGAGGCTTGTATAAATGCAATGTTCTAAAGGCAGAATTATACCCCTACTCTTGTGCTTGTAGTTCAGTAGGTGTCCATCTCATAGGATTCAACAATCTATAATCCAAAGTTGAAGCACTTCAATCTTCGGACTCTAAGAAACTTTATATATTTTGTGCTCTCAAAACACGACTTAGAATATGACAAACGAAAAATGAAAGAAATAGAGTGGAGAAATCCTATTTCTCAAGAGTAAACATTAGCTCTAATTTTGTATCTTTAATGATAATGATTTTATGGGTTTATATAGAACCATTGTGTTGTTTGGTGTAAAGATGCAACTTCATCTATGTAACCTAGATTAATTTTGAACACTTAAGAATAAACTAGATTAATTTTTTCATTCAATATTTTTGTTGTAAATAGTGGGTATGTATGTATGCTCACATGCATATAGTAAACCTTTTACAAGTTTAATAGTGTTTTGTTTGCTTTTCAAAATGTTTGCTTTATAAATAGAGCATTACAAATGTTCAAAAGGTGGTGATAAAAAGAAGAAGAGAAGATGAAAGTGAGAGACTCACGAAAGAGGAAGAGAGAAGAGAGGAAGAGAGAAAAGAGAGAAAGAGGAGAAGAGATAATAGAGAAAAAAGAGGAAGAGGAAGAGAGAAAAGAGAGAAAGATGAGAAGAGATAATAGAGATAGTTATCTTTATACTCTTATTATTATTATTTCAGATTATAACGAAGGTATTACTGCTGTCCCGAGAAACACTGTTCCTTCTACAGTTTTTTTTCGTTTTTACCCTTTTATTGTTTGTTGGCCACTGTTCATTCTATAGTGTGATTCCTTTTTTACCCCACTTTAGTTCTTTGGTAATCCTGGAAAGGGAAAAGGATGGAAAAGCCGGGATTTCCATTTGCTTCCGGAAACCACAAGCTCTCTTCCGCAGAAACTCAAAACGCAGCTCGAGCTCGACTTCTGTCTCAGAATCCAGCTCGACCTTCTCTCAGAACTCAGCTCGAGTAGTCCTTGGGTAAAACTCATCTTTTTCCCTAATTCTTCTCAGCATCTTACAATACTCCTTTCTTCATATGCTCTTTTATGTTTGGCTGAAATTCTGAGTTGCCGACTCTCTGAACACTATTTTTATATTCGAAATGCCAAATTGGGTTCTAGGTTTTGATGGGTTTTCGTTTTGCATCAAATTTTGATAAAAAGAAATTGTGAAATTTGGGATGGGGAGTTTGATGGGGTCGATTTTTATGCCAACAGATCAGTCGGAGAACTCGCTGAAACCGAAGGTCGCCGTCGCTCAGAGCTGCGTTTCTTTTGCAAAAACGATGGTGAATTTAGGGGTGCTATGTATTTGGGGTATTTTAAAGTTTGTTATTTTTAGGTAATTAAGTTGAAAAGAATTGTAATATTGGGGGTTATGTTTGGATATTGCAGTTTTGGATGGATTGAAGTATGCATCTTCACATGAGTGGGCGAAGCATGAAGGTTCAGTGGTAACAATTGGTATCGCTGATCATTCTCAAGTTAATATTAATATACAGAACTCCATTTCTTTATTTTCGACGTCTCTTGCAACTGGGTTAAAGAAATATTTGTCTTTTTGAATTGTATTTTACAATTATTTTCGTTTCCATAATAGTGTATCAACATACTAAATATATAATAATCAAATCGAAAGTTGCATGTAAGTGTATAGACCATGAAGTGAGTGATGCAGGTGAAGCTTTGTTTCAGGACCATCTTGGAGAAGTAGTGTTTGTTGAGCTACCAGAAGATGGTCACTCAGTCTCTCAAAGAGGCAGCTTTGGAGCTGTGGAAGGTGTCAAAGTAACCAGAGATGTAAATTCTCCAATCTCCGGCGAAGTCGTCGAGGTTAACTCAAAACTTACTGAATCACCTGGTTTGGTAATTCATCTTCCTTTCCGCCTATACTTATTACTTTTATCTTTCCTAAAGCAATGCTTACCCTTCATTAAGTTAATATTTTTCAAATATTCTTGGCATGCACGTTTTGACAAAGTACTGTACTTTTGTTTAAACAGTTTGACATGTATGTTGCGAAACCATTAATCTATTTTGGGTTTATTCAGATCAATTCGAGCCCATATGAAGATGGATGGATGATCAAGACCAAGCCCAGAAGTCCATCGGAGCTAGAATCCCTGGTCGATTTCTTCGTATATTCAACGACTCACAATCATGGATCCTGATTAGTAAGCCTCTGATCTCCTTTCCCTTCATCTAGCTATCTTTTGTTTCCAATTGTGCAATCTATTGGCCCTCTTTGCATCGCAGTATATGTGTACAGTGGGATAATTTTAATTGTAATATGATTATATGAATATCGATTTTGTGGGAATTTTTTGTCAATAGTGTTTGAATTAACTGCACGGGCTATCTTTGCTTTGGGTTGTATCTGTCTCCAATGTCAGTTGCTCATCAAAATTGTCAAATAATGGAAATTTATGAAATTTTTTGTTCCTGCAATGAATTAATATTCAACATTTTGCACTTCCCTACTGATTGTTGAATCTTTGATGTGGTTTTGTATATACCTTTTTTTCAAAATTTGGTGATCAAAACAAAAAGCACTGTTTTCATGCTATTTAATATTTCTTTCGCAACTTTTTTAGTGAGTTTCTCATTCACTGCCTATGGTGCGTTCATAGTGGACCCTTTTCCTTATACAAGCACTATGTTTCCTTCAATCCAAAATTTCAGCAGTTATGTAATCTCGCTCATCACAGTCATAGTTTCAAATTATCGTTTAGAGTAAAATTGAGATTTTTGCTGCTATAGTTTTTACCTGCTATATATACATCCCATCATCCAACTTCGGTTTTTGTTTGTAGAAAGAGTGGGTCAAAGTGGATAGCTGGGATAACCTCACAATAAGTATGTATTTCTTCTTCTATATAATCAATTTTATAGCTGTTGTTTCTTCCTGATTCATATTTGCATTCTACATGTTATCTTTGTGACTCCAGATCGTTCTTGAAATCAACGGCAAACACAAAAGCAGATTCCTAAACTCACTCGATAGCATGTGAAAGGCTGGGTATTCAGTTCTCTAACGTGGCTCCCGTTGATTCAGTTTGCTTTTACTGCTGCCAATCTACAGGTAAAGCTCAAACTTCCATACAAACTTTGTATTTTTCTTGATTGGAATTTGGACTATTTATTTTTTGTTCAAATCTCCCACAGAGAGAATAAACATTTTACTCTTATAGTTTTCAGGATCATCCCTATTCCGCTTTCTAAAGTTTTTTCACAAATAGTATATGTACCTAAATTTTTTGTTTAGTTATATTTTATTCAAATATTCATATATTTTTTTTGGTAGAGATTAAGTTATGGTACATAACATTCTTATAATTTTTTTATGTTAAAGAAATTAGCATATGGTGCGGGTTATATTACAATATAAGGTAATCCCAATTGGAATCACTATTGTATAAGAATTTGATGCTGATTTGCTTTGAGAATATAGATGTAAAACTGCAGATCTCTCTTAATAATACTGGACAACGAAACTAAAGTTAATATTTAATAACAAGAAAACAATTGACAAGAATGTGTGAAATTAGTGAATAAATTACTATTAATGCTAAGATCAATAGTAAAAAGTTCTATTGGTTTTATAATCAAAGATACATATATTATATAAACAGAGGATATATCATTAATGTCTTATATAAGCAATGATAATTTGAAGAACCAAATGTGATATATCCGTTTAGTATCTTTCTCTATAGTGATAACACTTGAGTATAATTTACATAATAGATCTTTTGAAGTACATGAAACTATGAAGAAAAAACACTATTAATCTGATTATGGGGGTTTTGTTTTATATCAAGATATTGAAGCAAAAGCCACACTTTGAAGAATTCATGCCGCACAGAAAGATGATGAAATGCCACCAATTGAATCCATCATTGCTCCACTGGAGGCAGAGCTTAAGCTTGCTGCAGGAGGTATACTTTTGTTCTGCAATATGACCCCTTTAATTTTGTTTAAAGACATATAGGCTTGAAAAAACTTCATATAGTATTTTGTATCAGTTTTGAGTGTCTATTTTGGCTTCCATATTTGGTTTGTACCTGTGAGGTATAGAGTGTTCAATATGTATTTGGTTTATATATTGTTAATGGATCTATCGACTCATTTATTTACATGAATTAATAATTATAACGAGTTCAATTTTTTTTATACTTCTGGATGTATTGGTTTTTTAGGTAACCAAGTTGTAGGCTGACAACAAAACACTTGATCGGCTTACTAAATCCAAGGAGGCTGCTCTGCTTGGGGCCGAGAGAAATGATCAGATTGCTTGGGCAAAAGCATCATTGGTTGATGATCTACAGATAAACCTTCAATCTCATCATGAAGTTTGTGCATTCGTTATTTCAGGAATTTGAGTTTTTTTTTTTATTTCTCAAGTCTTATCACATAGATTACGATTTCACATATGTATATTAATGGCAATTATATGATAGAAGAATTGGGAGTGATGCTGCTAAACCTCATTATATGTATTATTAATGGCAATTATAAGATTTCACATACATATGTATTATTTCTCAATTCTCATAACCTCCTGCTCTGTAAAACGATCTGTGTAAGTTTTGGAAGTGATGTTGCTAAACCTCATTTACCCTATATCGTGAGCCCAATCAAGTTGTTTACACCTGAACTCATGATAAAATTTATGGATCCACCATGTATGGATATGTATGTATCTGCTGATAGTGTTCAGATTTTCACTTGGCTTTTCTTTTTATTAATTTGTGGACCAATTTTAGTTGCTAATCATTGTTGGAAAGGTTACTTAGTCCCATTACTTGAGATGGGTGTGTTAAATTGTGGTTATGGTTTTAAACCCGCAGCGGAGCGTGGGCATCTTTGCTAGTTATACATGCTAAGACCTGGTTGGGATGGCACTGTTCAGCAATAGTGAAAGGGCGGAAATGCCCTTTTTATCAGCATTTTTTCCACTTTGGGTACAGTGGAATTACTACCTTGCCCCTGATGACCATGTGTTTGTGTGATATGTGAATTCTCGAGGTTTCAATTTGGTCCATGCGTCGATCATCGTTGGATGCCCTTTTTGACTGTGGTTGCTTTACCTTTTGTTTTCCTTTTCTTTTTCGCAAATTTGCTCAGTTGCTTTCCCCTCTGTGTTTCCCTCGCTCTCAAAGGTTTTCCACTGCATCTTCCTTCGATTTAACTTTCGTTTTCGTTTTCGTTTTGCTTTGTGCTCTGCTCTGTCGCTGTCAAACGATGTTCTCTTTTAGTGAGAGTCTTCATCCCAAAACGTTGTTGTCTTTCTGTGAGAGAGTTGTATACAAAATTTCCAAATCTTTGTCTCTCTTTGAGTCTGGAAGGCTTCTTCGCGTCTATGAAGCTGAAGCCCGGATAAAGGAGGAGGGGGAGGGCGTCAGGTAGTCGACAGCCGGCACTCCATGATCACGTCGAATCCTTATGAAAATGAATCCAGAACAAAATCGCGCTAAAGCTAGGGCGTCACCCGTAAGTGGCGCGCTGTGTGGCCCGAGCACAGTGATAAATGAGCAAGGGTCGCTGTATCTCCATCGGCACCCGGATGCAGTGTTAAATGAGCAAGGGGGCCATAGAAACTTCTTTTCGAACGACTCCACTCAAAGTTGTTTGGGAGCATATGCTCCTATCAACTTTACACGGGACACACAAAAGAAGTACTTTGATCCTATTAGACGGGGAAGGGTGAAGAAGCTAGGACAGAAGGGTAGAGTTCAAGAGAGCAAAATGCGTTTAGGAACGTGGAATATAGGAACCTTAACGGGAAAATCTATGGAAGTAGTGGAAGTTATGGTGAGGAGAAGGATAAAATATTATGTGCCTACAAGAAACTAAGTGGGTTGGTAGTAAGGCAAAGGATCTAGAAAACTCAGGGTTTAAACTTTGGTATTCGGGCACAAATAGAACGAGAAACGGTGTTGGCATCATCGTGGACAAGACCTTGACACAAGATGTTGTAGATGTCAAGAGGGTAGGAGATAGAATCATGGCAATCAAGATTGTAATAGGACAAGAACTTATCAATGTGATTAGTGCGTACGCACCTCAAGTAGGGTTGGATAAGAGTTCGAAGGAGAAATTTTGGGAAGACCTTGGAGACTTGGTGCAAGGAATTGCTCAGACGGAGAAGTTATTTATAGGAGGAGATTTAAATGGACACGTGGGCAGGGAGACAGGCAACTATGGAGGTTTCCATGGTGGCCATGGTTTTGGGGAGAGAAAACGAGGATGGGGAAGCTATCTTGGATTTTGCAATGGCATATGATCTCTTCTTAGCCAACACCTTCTTTAAGAAGAGAGAAGAACATGTGATCACCTACAAGAGTGGGTCGTCAAAAAACACAAATAGATTTTCTCCTAATGAGGAAAGGAGATCGTATAACTTGTAAGGATTGCAAAGTTATACCAGGAGAGAGAGCGTGGCTAATTAACATCGCTTGTTGGTGATGGATGTACATATCAAAAGAGTGAGACAAAAGAACAAGACTTGGAAGTGCCCAAGGACTAGATGGTGGAATCTAAAAGAAGAAAAACAAGTCATTTTCAAAGAGAAAGTAATCACCCAGTGTGTGTGGGATAGAGAGAGGGAAGCTAGCCAAATGTGGGATTCCATGGCTAGTTGTATTCGAAAAGTAGCAAAAGAGGTATTAGGAGAGTCCAAAGGTTTTGCCCCACACCAAAAGGAATCTTGGTGGTGGAATGAGGAGGTACAAACAAAGGTGAAGGCTAAGAAGGAATGTTGTAAAGCCTTATACAAGGATAGGACCGATGAAAATGGTGAAAGGTATAGAAAAGCGAAGCAAGAAGCGAAGAAAGCTGTGAGAGAAGCTAAGTTAGCGGCTTATGACGATATGTATAAGCGACTAGATACCAAAGAAGGAGAGTTGGATATCTATAAATTAGCTAGAGCAAGGGAAAAGAAGATAAAGGACCTAAACCAAGTGAGGTGCATCAAGGATGAGGATGGAAAGGTTCTTGCTACAGAGAACGCGGTTAAAGACAGATGGAAAGGTTATTTTCATAATCTTTTCAATGAAGGACATGAAAGGAGTGCTTCTTTAGGGGAGTTGAGTAACTCAGAAGAGTGTAGAAACTACTCTTTTTATCGTAGAATCCGGAAGGAAGAAGTGGTTGTAGCTTTGAAGAAGATGAAGCATAGAAAAGCAGTAGGCCCAGACGATATACCAATCGAAGTGTGGAAAATTTTGGGAGAGACAGGTATAACATGGCTCACTGACCTTTTCAATAGGATTTTGAAAACGAAGAAGATGCCAAATGAGTGGCGAACGAGCACTTTGGTGCCTATCTACAAGAATAAGGGTGACGTACAAAATTGCATGAACTATAGGGGTATTAAGCTAATGAGTCATACAATGAAGCTCTGGGAGAGAGTCATTGAGCATAGATTGAGGCAAGAGACACGGGTTTCGGACAACCAATTCGGGTTCATGCCAGGGCGCTCAACCATGGAGGCAATCTATCTCTTACGAAGATTGATGGAAAGATATAGAGATGGGAAAAAGGATTTACACATGGTCTTTATAGATTTGGAAAAAGCGTATGATAGGGTCCCAAGAGACATTCTTTGGAGGATTTTAGAGAAGAAAGGAGTACGAGTAGCATATATCCAAGCTATAAAGGATATGTATGAAGGAGCAAAGACTGCCGTAAGAACTCATGAAGGACAAACCGAAAGCTTTCCCATAACTGTAGGATTACATCAAGGCTCATCCTTAAGTCCTTACCTTTTTGCGTTGGTAATGGATGAGTTAACAGGACATATTCAAGATGATATTCCTTGGTGTATGCTTTTCGCAGACGATATAGTGTTGATAGATGAAACTCAGGAAGGGGTAAATGCAAAGCTTAACCTTTGGAGAGAAGTGTTGGAATCTAAAGGTCTTCGCCTAAGCCGATCAAAGACAGAATATATGGAGTGCAAGTTCAGTGCAAATGGAGGCCAAAACGAGTTAGGGGTGAGGATCGGAGATCAAGAAATACCAAAGAGCGACCGTTTTCGTTACCTAGGATCTATCTTGCAAAAGAACGGAGAATTAGATGGAGATCTCAACCATAGAATACAAGCTGGATGGATGAAGTGGAAGAGTGCATCCGGCGTGTTGTGTGACCGCCGTATGCCACTGAAGCTCAAGGGAAAATTTTATAGGACGGCAATAAGGCCAGCGATGCTGTATGGCACAGAATGTTGGGCGGTGAAGCATCAACACATACACAAAATGGGTGTAGCGGAGATGAGGATGCTTCGTTGGATGTGTGGGCACACGAGAAAGGATAAGATTAAGAATGAGGATATCCGGGGTAAAGTAGGAGTAGCCGAAATTGAAGGCAAGATGAGAGAAAATCGGTTACGGTGGTTTGGACATGTGCAACGAAGGCCTACTGACGCTCCGATTAGAAGATGCGACTATGGGACAGAGGTTCAGGGCCGAAGGGGTAGAGGAAGACCTAGGAAAACTTTGGAAGAGACTCTAAGAAAAGACTTAGAGTACTTGGATCTAACGAAGGACATGACACAGGACCGAGCACAATGGCGTTCTAAGATTCATATAGCCGATCCCACTCAGTGACTTGGATTTTCCAAGTCTCCAATCGAGAAGTTTTCCTCACTCTGGAAATTAAGGGAACACTACCCCAACCTACATGCTCCACTCAGAAAGCTTCAACATACAAGCTTCAACAAAAGAAAATTCAAAGAACTTAGCGAAGAAGGTTTTGGTGTATTTAACACAATACGTTGAAATGAAGGAAAACTTATTTATTGATATCCCCGATAAGCTACAAATGTGTACATATACATGAGTCAAAATAAACAAACAAGAGGGAGCCTTCACAAGGGTTGCTTAGGAGAAGTCTCAGCAGTCGGTAGAGCCCCAGAAAGAGAAGGCACCGGAGGGGGATCATTCGGAACCTCAGTACTGGACAGAACCCTAGAAGAGGAGGCATCAGAGGTTGATTATTTGGAGCTTCATTACGCGGTACAGCCCCAGAAGACGAAGGCAATAAATGCCTTTGGAACAAACCCACAAATCTCTGATGATCAAGTAAAACCTGACCATCAGTTTCCTTCATCTGGTCAAGCTTCCTCTTCATGTTTGTAGCATAGTCATGTGCGAGCCGGTGCAACTGTTTATTCTCATGCTTGAGCCCTCTAATCTCCTGTTTGAGACTCATCACCTCAGCCGCCAATGATTCAACTTGGCGGGTTCGAGCAAATAGGCGTTGGGCCATATTAGACACAGAACCTGCACACTGAACACTGAGAGCCAGCGAATCCTTAACAGCTAACTCATCAGACCGTTTGGAAAGTAGTCTGTTATCTTTGGGAGTGAGAAGGTTCCTGGCCACCACCGCAGCAGTCATATCATTCTTCATCACGGAATCCCCAACGGTAAGAGGACCAGTAGGGGAGACAAAGGATGGGCGCCATATGTTGTCTGGAGAAGGCGGGGCTGCCTCTTCAACAAGGTTCAAGTCAAAACGACGGTCGGAGGGGCCAGACATTTTCAAAGGTGTTGAAGAGAGAAGAGGTTGGACAAATCAAGATCTTAGAAGTGCAAGAATGGAGCTTCTACTGGTGGAGA